AAGTAGCATTTTGCCGGCTTGATTTTGCTGAACTATAGCGTCTTGAATTAGTAATTGTTTAATTTTCAATACACAATATGATCATACATTTCGTGATTATCATTGTTGTAGGCGAAACCATCAGAGGATTTGGAGCACGTGACGCATAAAGTGTACTTTGATGTCGAAATTAATGGAAAACCTACAGGTATTTTTCCTTTTTATGTATCGTCCCACAGCCATATATAGAAGAGAAATAAAAAAAAGATGCCTTTTAGTTTGATCAAGTTTTATTGTTTGCTGTAAGGTATAGTTCTGGATTACTCTGTTTTGTTATTCCCAAAATAAAAATAGTTCGGCGTAGGTCACAAATGAGTAAATGGTAGATAATTCTTTCTGTCTATTTTGCTAGTATAATGAATTTCGCATTGCTCCATACAAAATTTTTCATGGATGGATTTGATGACCGAACATTGGAAGCTAAGTTTTATCCCTGGAGTATACCTTCTAAATATACTAATGCTTTTACTCTGGACATCTCTCCTTGTCATTTTTCTTTGTTTTTACTGAAGAAGGGGGAGGGGAAACTGAAAGACGAGGGGAATGGGATTTGATCCTTCAACCACACGGTGATGGTCGGACGGCCTCAACCAACTGAGCTGCCCTCTCACCCCGACTTCTCTCTTTGTCGTGTCTAGCCAGAAACAAGAAAAATGAAAGCTTAAGAAATGAGAGAGGGAGCTATCATTTTTAAATGGTTAGGGCCACTGTTTTAAGCATTTTATTGGAACTGGATAAGAAATGCATCACGATTTCACTCACCTCTTACATGATGTTGGAATATGGAGTTTCCATCGTCTCTGAGCTCGAATTGTTGAGGCAGTATCCTCTTCAAGATTGGAGTTTAGTTAGCCTTCACGTCCATGTCTAGCATTTAAGGATGTTAGGTTGGTTGCATTAGTAAAGGTACTCCCTGCACAAAATTATATTAGTAACAGAAGGCGCATAAGATTAAACATCACTGCACAAAATAATGTAGTGTTTGGTGGGCCACATAAATAATCTCGCATGACTAATACAAAGTTTAGCTTATGAGGAAATCAATATATTATTTTATGGGGATATAACGTGGAATAAGAATGCATGTATTAGCAATACATAAGGTATCTAAATACAAAAATGCTCTTAAAGTTGGTAACTTGCATAACATTCCATATATTATTGATCATTGTATAACAGTTAGCTTGCAGCTTTGTGGGGGTGGAAATTGTCACTAATTGCTTGAATAAGATCCCACATGCCTAACGCTTTAAATTGAGCAACTAACGACAACATTGCCTCATTCAGCTTATTGTCTTAACTCTTGAATATTGTATAATTCTAATTGATATTATTTAAATTTTTGGTTCTTACCATGTTGTTCATAATACATACAATTCCAGATAAATATATTGTAGTTAGAGCAGGTTTGTTAAAGATTGCTAGATCTATTTCAGTTGTAATCATAGGTGGAAGAGTTTCTTGTGATTTCTTTTGGTTTTTTGTTGAGTAAGGGTAATAACTTCTGAACTTAATCCAGTGTTGTCAAAGGCGCGCTTAAGCCCTGAAGCGAGGCTCAAAACATGTTGAGCGCTTCGCCTCGCTTTGTGAGCGCTTCAGTGTCGCATCAAGGCTCTAAGACATACTTTTCCTTGCCAATGATTGTGATCCTGAAAATGCGACACTAAACAATTGATATTTCACTTTATCATATTCTTTTTCTAATTTCTTTGTCCGTATATTTATTATTTATGCTTATAATTATTGGTCTTGTACTACATATACATATTTTTACTTTTTCTCTAGTTGCGCCTTTTTATATTAAAGCCTACGCTTTATTTGCGCTTAAAGCCCCAATGGACCTTAGAGCTTTTTTGCGCTTTTCGCCTTTGATAACACTGACTTAATCTTCTACATATTGATTGCTTTCCTTTCAGGTCGTATTGTCATGGGCCTCTTTGGAAAAATAGTCCCGAAGACAGCAGGTACTCCATCTTGTGCTGAATTATGTTGTCTCCTTTTGGCATTGTACATTAAATCTTGTTAACTGTATTGATGAACTTGCTGTATAATTATTTTCTCTGCAGAAAACTTCAGAGCTCTTTGCACGGGTAGCCAAGTAACTTTTGTTCCCTCTTCATATTTATGCATTTAACTACTATATCTCGTTTAAAGTAACAACAATGTATCATATTTGAGTTCCATTTTTCTGAGAGATTCAGTTCCACCACAGTACATTTTATCTGAACATCAAGTTAATAAGGATACCATACTGGAAATTCTTACAAATTTGTGCTTTCGGATAGCAACAACATACCTAGTATAGTCCCACAAGTGGGGTCTTTGGAGGGTAGTGTGTAGTGTGTACGCAGATCTTACCCCTACCTGGCGAGGTAAAGAGGCTGTCTCCGACAGACCCTCGGCTCAAGAAAAGGCGAAAAGAGAGAAAAGGGAAGAAGACGAAGAAGAAAGAGGAAGAAGAAAGAAGATGGAGACAAAGAGCGATAAGGAAAAGGGAGAAAAAAACAACAAGAACAAGAACAACAACAGCAAGCAAAAGAAAAAGTAGCATCAAATAGTAACAAACAGGAAAATACGATACACGGAGCGAACGAGACAATAGGCAAATACTAGAGGTCAAAGAATACGGAAAAAACAAGAGCGCTCCTAAAACTACTAGAAAAGAACGGGTAACTCTCTATTAGCTACTAGCCTTCTACCCTAATCCTCGACCTCCTCACCCTTCTATCTTGGGTAATGTCCTCAGTGAGCTGAAGTAGCGCCATGCCCTGTCTAATCAAACCCGCCATGGCCAGCCTCTCACACCTCCTAACAGGAGCATCTGTACTCCTCCACTGCACGTGCTCGAACCATCTCAGCCTCAACTCCCGCATCTTGTCCTCCGCGGGGGCCACTCCCACTTTGTCCCGAATAACTTCGTTCCTAATCCTATCTCTCCTGGTATGCCCACACATCCATCTCAGCATCCTCATTCTGCGACTTTCATCCTCTGAACATGGGAGTTCTTGACTGGCCAGCCCATACAACATAATAGGTCTAACCACCACTCTGTAGAACTTACCCTTAAGTCTTGGTGGCACCTTCATATCACACAAAATACCGGATGCGAGCCTCCATTTTATCCACCCCGTACCAATACGGTGGGAGATCTCATCATCAACTCGGATAACATGACTAATTTCATTAACTCGGATAACATGACTAATGTAATTACTTTAGAAGTGAACCCAGCAGTGAAATAAAAGCAATAACAAAGCTAGTTAGAGTGTATTGGACAAGAACAAAAGAATACTTGTATTACATTTGAGGTAGAAAGAGAGATATCCTACACTGAAAAGGAATGTCCATGCTGTAATGTATGTTGGAGCCAAAAGCAGCTACCTCTAATTGCCACAGGTCATTGCTGATGCAAGGGCCAAAATGCTCCTTCCTTGACTAGTTTATTTCAAGAAACATCTACATTTGCATGAAGGTTTCTTGTTATGTATTTGTTTCTGTGAGGTCCTTTTAACATTTCATCCCTCCTTAATCTCTGTTCTGGACATGGAGGAAAAAAGGAAACCATTACCTGAGAGGGAGGATCATACTGCTTGCTAGACATTAGTGGGTCTTATGGCTAGACTGGCATTATCTTGTAAAGTAGATATTAATCAATTGCCTCAGATAAAAAATAAATGCATAACGATGATGAAGCCTCACCACTTTTCTACTGCATTAGCATCTACTATGCACACTAATACTAAAGTTACCAATCTGGCAAACATTTATCACTCAACTTGTAGGGGAAAAAGGAACTGGGAAGGCTGGCAAGCCCCTCCATTACAAAGGTAGCACTTTCCACAGGATCATACCAAGCTTCATGATCCAGGGAGGCGACTTCACTCGTGGTGATGGGCGAGGTGGAGAATCAATATATGGTGAAAGCTTTCCAGATGAAAACTTTGATCTAAAACACACTGAGCCTGGTGAGATGTGATTGTTCAATAGTAATTAGTTGTTGCCTTCTTTTGTTTGTTTTGTGTTTTATTCGATGGTGCTATATGCACTTTCCATAATGGGAAGTGTTCTTGACAAGAATGGGTTTACATTTACTGATAGTCCTTTGTTTTGGGAGAAGGTATTCTGTCAATGGCAAATGCTGGACCGGACACCAATGGATCTCAATTCTTTATCACAACTGTAACCACTGGCTGGTATTCAACTAAGTCCTCTCTTTGGTGTAACTTATCTACTACTAAACTTTTAATTTGCTTGGCCTTAATTTGTTTACTGTGTTGCACTTCCTGTTGGTTCCCTGTATGTATGAGTCAAGCATATACTGAATTTTGGGTTACCTCTTAAAATGTTTACTTCCGTTCCATGGTTAGGTTGGATGGGCATCATGTTGTCTTCGGCAAGGTGCTGTCTGGGATGGATGTCGTGTACAAAATTGAAGCAGAAGGGAGAGGAAGTGGAACCCCAAAAAGCAAAGTTATAATATCAAATAGCGGTGAACTACCTTAGTGATCCAATTTTCCATGTATCAAAACACCTCAGATACTTGATAATGCTTATCCTCGGGCAAAAGTCAGTTTCATATGCTGTCAAGAAATCTGTTATGGGACTATTGCGGCTTGTAAAGTTAAAACAGCCCTCTTGAAACAGGATCACGACTGCTGCTTAGAATAGATCGGGCTCATTTTATGAAAATTGTTATAAAACCTTTGCTTCTATATTTATTTCTTAAAAGATTTTGAATGAATTCTTGGTAATATACACCAGAGGTATATTTAAGTTTCCTTTCGTTCTTATCGCTAGAAACTTTGTTATGAATGAAACTTCGCATTGGTATCGTGATTCTGCCAAGATTGTGCTGGAGGATGCCAGCCAATTTTACCAGATTCGCGCAGCGTAGACAAGTAGCTTAGCGCTTCGATGAATCATTCTTGTACTAGCAGTACCAGATGATTTTAAGTAATAAATGCTCAAACCTTAATAAGACTTACTAATGTTTAATACAAACAAGTGTAGAACATAATTGACTAAGTTCTCTTTTTTTCATCAGGTAGTGAAACAATGCGCAGCTCGGCAGACACAGAATACTTTGAGAGCGTTATTCGTGATATTTCGACCAAAAGTTTTCAATCCAATAAGCAAACTAGCTAGAAACTAGGAGTAAAAGGAAGTTAAAAATAGAAAATATAGAGAAGCTTCATAGGTGTCTCTGGTCGTTGTTGTTCTCATCTCCAATGGCATCGTTTCCCTGATGAAACACGGTGGAAAAATTGGTGGATAGATCAGAATAAAGAGAAACGACCTTGGAAATGTTGCCATTAAGCTCCTGAATCAGGCCCACGTTCTGCACCATATTGTTATGCGTTCTCGCCTGATGATTCTCGTTGACCTGCTGAATCAACAATCTGTTCCGATCCAGCACCGATTGCACTTGCCGGAATCTGTTGGAGAAGTCGTTCCACATCTCGGAGTTGTCTTCCTCCATACTGACGTCTCCGTTCTCGTCTTCGGTGTTGTACGCTTCAACGGCAGAGCTATTACCGCCGTGCCGGCGCCGGCGGTCGTTAGTCGAGGCAGTGGTGGTAGTTGGAACGTTAAGTGATTGAGCTTTGGCTAGGGTTTGACGACGGCGTTTGAAGTTTGAAGTTTCTTCCATGCTGAATTCAACTGCTGATTAACAATAATCTACATCAGCACTAATTTGTGTCATAAATACATATGCTCTGTTCTCTGGGGAGGTGTAGATTGAAAAGGGCATACATATATTCTGCAGATTAGATATTTTCTTCCTCATTTCCGTGTGCTTGTGGCAGCTCACAGAGATGACTAACCATGATGTGACACTGCCCCTTCACGCGACATCGTTGTGCGTTGATTTTGTGAATAAGGACGAAGATAAGAAAGAGGGTGAAGGATTGAAGACCACGCGCAAAAGAAGAGAGTTAGGGTAAGTTTGAGGCGAAAATATCTTATCATGGAGGATTATTGGACGGCATTAAAATAATGAAAAAGTGCAAAAAGTCCCAATTTGAAATGTTTGCTTGGGAATCAAAGGAAGTAGAAATATCTACGAGAGACGTACTCCTTTTTTCCGGTACGGAATAAAAATGTAATCTTTTTTTACTCAAACGATCGAAATATGTGAAAAAAATAATTTAGTGACCAAAATATACATAGTGCCCTTTTAAAAGGTGCTATACCTTAACGCCCATTTTGAACGTTAAGGTATAGTGCTCTTTAAAAAAGTGCTATATGTATAAAGCCTTTTATACACATGGCGCAGGAAAAATAGATTAATAAAATTTAATGTACCAAAAGAAGAGTTGATTGCTTGGTGGTGCAATAGTTAAAGGCTAGGTAATAAGTTGGTTTTTTCTTTGAGGTCCAAGGTTTGATTCCCTTTATTAACAATATTTTGTTTTCCTATTTCTTTCTCATTTTTTTTATTTCATTTCATTATTTGGTTTAAGTATTTAAATAATATAAATACTTTAATATTTATAATTACTTTTCAATGTAATTAAAATAATTTAATATTTATTAAAAAATTATGATTTTTGAATTCATTTAAAGTAAAAAAAGAGATAAGCCTTTTATTATTTCGTTAAAAAATCTACCGACATTTTTAATAGTTGTTATTTTGTATTATACGTAAAACAAAATTATTTTTTGTATTTTTTTATACAAAAAATATATATAGTTTAATCTATTGCTTGAATTTTTTTATTTTTTGATATATTTTTTTAAATTTAGTTATTAAAATTTTAGTTATTAATCAAAATTCTAATTATATATTTTATATTTTTCCTGAAATGTATTTTTTATTTCTCCTTTTATTCCTTGGCTATTGTAATTGTATTATCCATTTAAAATTTTTAAATAAGAATATGGTTGTTCTTATAATCCATTAGGATTATTATTAGCTAAGTAATGGAATATAATTCTTATATTCTTATTAGGAAAACTAATTAAATGGTTGCTCATAGATTAATTTTTTTTCTAATAAGAATTATCCTAAACTAAACTAAATATAACCATTTAATTTATGAAAAACCATTTAATTAATTTTTCTATACTAAATTTTCATAAACTAAACTGTATTATAACCATTTAGTTTATGAATAATCATTTAATTAAATGTCCTGATAAGAATATGAAAATCATAATCCATTACTTAGATAATAATAATTCGTCAATTAATAATTTATATTTAATAATAAGAAAATTATAATATTTATAATTAGAATTTTGATTAATAAAATTCATATAGTGTAAATATAACTAAAATTTTAATAACTAAATTTAAAAAGAAAGATATCAAAAAATTAAAAAATTCAAGCAGTAGATTAAACTCTCTCTCTCTCTCTCTCTCTCTCTCTATATATATATATATATATATAGATATCAAAAAATAATTTTGTTTTACGTATAATGCAAAATAACAATTAAAAATATTGGTAGATTTTTTAATGAAATAATAAAAGTTTTTTTTTTACTTTAATGAATTCAAAAATCATAATTTTTTAATAAATATTAAATTATTTTAATTACATTGAAAAGTAATTATAAATATTAAAGTATTTATATCTAAATACTTAAACCAAATAATGAATAGAAATGAAAAATGAAAAAGAAATAGGAAAACAAAGTAATGTTGCAAGAGGGAATTGAACCTTGGATCTCAAGGACAAAACCAACTTATTATCTAGCCTTTAACCATTGCACCACCCAGCAGTCGGTCTTTCTCTTGGTACATTAAATTCTATTTATCTGCGTTTTCTGCGCCATGTGTATAAAAGGCTTTATACATATAGCGCCCTTTTAAAGGGCGCTATATGTATTTTGGTCACTAAGTTTTGTTTTCACGCATTTCGGTCGTTTGAGTCAAAGAAGACCATATTTTGGTTCCGGAACCCTCTTTTTCCTATATCGACCATAGATTTTCTTGTGCTTTTACTTTTTCTGCGTGTGTCAATTTTAATTTGAAACGTGTATTCGGGGGTGGCAAATAGGCGGATCGAATTGGATATGAATAGTTCAAAACGAGTAATGTAAAAACAGATAAAATATTCGATCTTCTCATCTTTAATACAGATAGAAAATGAGCTAATCGGTGGATAATATTGATACTAATATTATTCACGGCTTCTTGAATGTGATCATTTTTTGGAAAATTTTTAGTCTCCCACATTTGAAAACCCACAATTTGAGTCTTTGCAAATGTCAAAGTTGAATCCATTGGTTATCCATTAAGTATATATCTTTTAAGTGGATAATATGAATCTTATCCATATTTAACAAATTTTTAAAAAGTTTATTATTCGATCAATTTTTAGTGAATAACATGGATGGATAATTATTTTTTAATCTATTTTTCCACCATTAGGTGTATTGTAAAAATAAAAATTATGACAAGAATATTGTGTTGGTGTTTAACACCCAAATTTGAGGAAGATGATACCAAACTCAACTAGACAAATGATAATGAGCCTTCATGAAGTATGTGCTAACCCAAAATGACACAAGATTTTGGATCAAGCATGCTTCTACGCTCAACCCATAAAGAGAAAGAAATGGGTCATGTCCAGGATATGCCTTTAAGGAATTGTGGGACTTGGAATTAGTATGGTTGAGGAAGAATTTTTACTTTTAACCAAGCCCTAAGAAGGTTTTAAACTTGAAGGACTTTAATTGATAACCGCTTTCCACAACACATATATGCCTTCTCTTTATTACACGACTGGTAGTCGTATCCGCGCGATGCACGGTCAATATTAAAAAAATTTAACTAAATTAATTGTGATCGGGCTTGTTTGAACATATTAGATCGTATTGCTTTAATAAATTTCAATTGTCATCTTATTTGTCAATACGATATACCCAATAATAAAATATATATTAAATTAAATGGACTTATCTAGTTATTGAATAACTTTTTTGTTCTATATTTTCTTTATTATATTATCCAATGTTTAGTATTAATACATTGTTAAAAGATATTTTTATTAGCATATTACTTTATTTAATATTTTTGTCTGCTCGGTTTCTTTTTATAATAGAAGAGAAGATATATATTTTATTACTCTTGAAATATTTTTTTATTTTAAATTTTATTCTGTTGTTCTCAACAATAGTATCTGAATTTTAATGAATAAAACTCTATTAAATTAAAGGGACTTATATAGGCATCGAATAATATTTTTGTTCTATATTTTTCTTTATTATATTATCCAACATTTGATATTATTACATTGTTAATAGAAATTTGTATTAGCATATTTTATTATTTGATATTTTTGTCTGCTACTTTTTTTTTTATAATATAATAGAAGATATATATTTTATACTCTAGAAATAATATTTACTTTAAATTTTATTCTATTGTTCTCAATAATATTATCTGAATTTTAATGAATAAAATCTCTATTATATTAAAGGGACTTATATAGGCATCGGGTAACTTTTTTGTTCGGTATTTTTCTTTATTATATTATTCAATATTTAATATTATTGCATTGTTAATAGAAAATTTATTAGCATATTATTTTATTTAATATTATTATCTGCTGGTTTATTTTTGTAATATAATAGAAGATATATATTTTATTACTTTTAAAATATTTTTTTATTTTAAATTTTATTGTATCGTTCTCAATAATATTATCTGAATTTTAATGAATAAAATATCTACAAAATTAAAGAAATTTATATAGTCATCGAATAATCTTTTTATTCTGTATTTTTTTTATTATATTATCCAATATTTAGTATTATTGCATTGTTAATAGAAATTTTTATTAGCATATTACTTTGTTAATATTTTTGTATGGTAGTTTCTTTTTGTAATGTAATAGAAGATATATATTTTATTACTCTTGAAATAATTTTTTATTTTAAATTTATTTATTTTTCTCAATAATATTGTCTGAATTTTAATGTCACGTCCCAAAAATCATTATAGGCCGTGATGTCACCCAACGTCGTCGTTAGACATGCCAACGTTGAACCATCTAAATAATTATTCATTTTATTACTTTTGAAATCACAAGTTTTATTAAATAAAGAATTTAATGTATTTAAAATCACGGATACATACAATATTAGTAAGATATAAAATAAAAAGGTGACAATATTAAAGCAAAACCATTAACATCAACTAGAATATCCCAAAACCCGGTGTCATAAGTGCATGGGCAACTACTAAAAAATACAATACCAATATAACATCTGTCTGAAATGTAAAATAGACAGGATAACATAAATGAATATGAAGGAGACTCCGTATGCTACAGATCATAACATGGGATGCAGCTCACCGTAAAGTTCTTGCAATAGCTGCGCCTTTACGCCCAAATGACCACCAGAAATATATACCTGCACAATAAGTGCAGAAGTATAGGATGAGTACGTAAATCAACGCGTACACAATAAATATCTAGCCTAACCCTAGAGAAGTAGTGATGGGGGGTCGACATTGACACTTACTAGTGGTCCAATAAATCAACATGTATTAAATTATAAATGAATATGAAACACAAAAACAATAATGAAGTAAGGACTGTAACTAGCAAAAATCCTCCAACATTTGTGACAATGTGAATTTCTCAAAATCTCATATACTATCTCAATAGATAAGAAATATCAAGTGCTATCTCCAACAGATAAGGAATATCATATAAATGCCAGGTCTCAATCCAAGAAACATCTCATGAATACTCGGACTCCTAGCGATATTTGCGCACGATTATGCCGAGGTTAGTATGAACCAATCCAAAGTGGTGTGTACACTGCCAAGGGCCGACCAACGCGAACCAGAGATGCATCTCAATATACTGT